AAAAAAAAAACACATCGGGACATCCCCCGCTTCCTCTGTTCACCCCACTTCCCACTACAAACACACCGCCCCTGTTCTTATCTCCAATCAAAAACTCAGCTGCTTTCCAGCCAATACAAATATATGTGGCATGACAGTATCAGGCAAGATAAGGTCTATTAAGTTGTATGTATAAAACACCATCTGGCTGTTTCATTTGTCTGTTACGTTCACCTTTCGTTTTTTGCGTCTTAACAGAAATTTGAAAAAACCCTAAAAAATTTACCTTTCGCCGTAATTTTAAAACTTACGCATTCGTAAAAAACTCGTTTTTTCGTTCTACTTTTTCAGAACGTGGGGATGGGTACCTTTTCCCGGGACCTCCCTCTCCTTTCGGCTTACCTCTCTAAGATCGAAGCTTATTTTAAGATAACCTTTATGCTTTACAAGTGATCACCTGTCGCAATTAGGCATTTTCCGTATTTCAGAGTTCGCCCATCATCGAGGTATGCCGTATGTGACGGGACGTCCAGTTTAACGACACGATGTCCACTCACCAAAGCAACGCCGCCGTGCTCCGCGCTATCAATCTCGCCAGGCGCCAGGAAAAATCCCGGGGCCTCGAAGTACACATCCCGCCTCCTCCCACTGTATCCTTTGTATTCGAGTGTTTCTGACACCTGAACAACCACAACCATTTGTTCCTTTTACATAAAATGAACCAGGACATTTGCATAAAATTTACATGCAAACTGCCCCCATACTTTAGTGATAAGACAAGGTTAGCTTTCCAGCGGAGAAAATTAAGGAAGAAGATGCATTACTGGAAGGATCTGCACAATCTTCCCGCGATGAAGCCACTTTAGCGGTACCTTATTTACAAGAATTCGTTCAAAACCAACCGAAAGTTCACACATACAAAGAATTTACATGTGTTGCAGATGCAAATCTGCTCCCCACAAATCGGATATAAAGAAAATACATGTTCGCGCCCATCTACTTCGATGTATAATCGCTACTTTTTCTCAGAAATACGACGAGGTTTTTATGTTTATTAATTTTAATGTGTTTCGCTCCTGGAAGCAACATGCTCTCCTCTTCAATATTGCTACGCTGAACGTAACAACGTGCGGATGAGAAACGTGGCCAGTGACGAAAGCTGAAGAGCGAGTGCTGGGGAGAGCGAAGGAGTGAAGGATGCTCGGTGGATCCCACTGCGACCATACGAACAAACAGACTCTGCAATAGTTACCACTGCGACCAAGCGAGAAAATAAAACCTGATAGCTAGGGCACGTTGCTGGACGTGCGAACCATAGATGATGCAAATGAGAAAGTAAAAAAATTGGCCAACGCACGGGCTGCCCGTGCGAAGATGCGTTTTTTGCAGAGTTCCCC